TGATCTCTTTAGAGTTAAAACCATTTTATGTTCACTTCGAGAAATGAATATTAAATGACATCTATTTTTCAAAAGCATTATCATACCATATTAAGGGGGTGTTTGGCTAAGCTTTTTTTAAAACAACTTATTAGGTTCCACATCACTATAAGTTAAAAAAGTGTTTGGATTTAAATAACTTATTTTGGTGGGGAACCTCTAATACGTCATTTTTTCATAAGTTACCCTACACTTACTTATTAACTTATAAGCTAATAAACTAATAAGCAATAAGCTTTTTTTGTCAAACACCCCCTAAATGTTATTACTTCCGTTTATACATACCCAAACCACTTGTACTGTTTATCGTCCTCTTTTTTTTTCCGTTTTCCTTAATTCCTTTATTAATTTAATGACCTACTAAGTAAAATGCTAAAATATATAAATAATAGTTTATAAAAATAAACCTTTAGAATATCAGGTGTTGTGATTCAAAAGTCGATAAATAGGCCTTTGAGAAGGCCAAAATACTCATGTCTCAACTTGTTTATTGTGATTTTAAACCAAGTTTGGTCACAAATTAAAACATTTTCAACGATGGTATGTAATTCAAGGATTCATATTGATTTAGGTTCTCGAAACCTTAAAATATTGAATAAAATCTATATAGAACCTTATAATAAGAACAATAATCACCGTAATCAGGAAGTCCATGTAATGAAACTTGATATTATAAGAACCAATGATGAAAAATGTTTCATTTTTAGACTAAACAAGATGAAAAATATACAAACTACCTTAATCATGTCAAATCTTGTGTTTAACTGCTCTTTATTGCAAAAGTAAGATGCCAAAATATACAAACTAATGATAATACAATGCTCTAACTGTCCCTCTTGGTATAGTTCTTTGAACCTGCAAAGTCAACACATTAAAGAAACATAGTAAAAACCTTTTTAGGAACAAACCTGATATAATAAAACCTTCATCCAATATATTTATAAGATAAATATACAAAAAGTTAAAAATGATGAAACAATTACAAGTAAGGATTAAAATAAAAACTTGTTAAGAAAGAGTCATCTGCAGGAGAGATATTTGAATCAACATGTATTTTCTGATGGTTTCAAATTTTGAATTATCCGAAATTCATGGAAGGAGCTAGAATTTGTTGAGAAATATAAGGATTCAAAACACAAGTTAAAATTTAATATTATTTTATTGATGACTACTTGTACTATTAGCTTAATAATTTGAATGTCTTAAAAAATAATATTATTATATTCAATCTATTTTTAGAAATAATAGGATTTCTTTTATAAGATAGTAAAGATATATATATATATATATATATATATATATATATATATATATATATATATATATATATATATATATATATATAGAGAGAGAGAGAGAGAGAGAGAGAGAGAAAAGTTGAAGGGGGGAGGTGTGGGAAATGGAAGAACCCGACACCTCTATTTATAGGGCCAAATCCTGATGGACTCGCATATTTGGTTCACAGACTCGTCGAGTCGGTGCCACTTGTCAACTTTTTGGTGGCAAAACGTGTATGGCCTACATTGTGCCACGTCACCCGTTTTGCAGCAGCACCCTGCCGACTTCTAAACCCCGTAACTTTCTCATACGAGCTTCGTTTTTTACATTTTTTATATTTACGTGTATGTAAAAACAAGATCTACAACTTTCATTTTGGCCCCATCGGCTAAGTCTTCACTGATCTTAAATTTAATAGTAGGAGGAGATTAGACTGTTAAATGACCGTGAAAAATTTATAACTCCTTCATATGGACTCCATTTTCGTCTGTCCTTTTACCATTGACTTCCTATTAATGATATCTTCAACTCTCATTTAGGTCGCGTAAGCCAAAAACCGCTCGATCTAAGATTCGAGTTTCGGGTTGTGCAAAACTATGTCAAATCTTATAAAATTCATAACTTCGTCATACGAAGTCAGATTTGGGCGTTTTTTTTGTATGTTCTCGGTTTAACGTATACTACATATTTGTTCTGATCACTAAGGATAAAAATTCCTTTATAAAAAATTACTATTTATGTCTCCCGGTGCTGTGCCGGTTTTGCCGAAAAACTTCGACGGGCCATAACTTCTTCGCTATAACTCGGATTTCGGCGTTCTTTATATGTACGGAACCCTTGAGACATATTATACAACTTGATTAAGATTATTTATTCTAAATAATATTTTGTCGAAAAGTCATTTTCGACCCCTATTATCTCTAAATTGACTAGCCCGGATCTATGGGCGTTATAGTATGACTCCGAATCTCAACTCTCCATTCAAAGCCTACAACCACCAAGTGACCAATTTCCATCAAATTTCCAAATTATCCAAAGTACCATTAATGTCAAACTTAGCCAGAAGGGCAAAAGGTTAAGAAACGTCAACTCAACTTGATTGCCACATCGTGGTTCTGGATACAACAAAACAGTCATGAAGCCCCCTGCCACAATGTCGTGGTTACGGGGTTTTCAGCAACTTATTGCATTCAGCCACCTCATCCGGTTCTAAAAGGTCTCCAATTCAGATCTAGTCCAAAAATAGGGTCTATATGGATAAAGTTTCCAAATTCATCCAATAGAACCCTCTAAATCATGCATCTCGACTTTTAAAGTCTAAAGCACTACATGGCTTTACCAATAATCGTTCAATCCATGGGGTCACTTGACCAAAGCTACAAGAGAGTCTCTAACACCATAAAAGTCGATGCTTTTCAGACATGCATGTCTTGAACTCTCATTAGGTCAAAATAGGGCAAAAAAGCCAATATTTCATGTATGACCCTCAAACTCAATTATAGACTAGATCCAAAGAACCAAATGCTCCAAATGGCCTGGAAAGTCATAAAGTTGCAAGCTTTTTGAAGTCTAGCAACCCAAAGCAACAAGATCTAGAGAAAGAAAGGGAAATATCCATAGATCTACTCATAAACTTATCAATATGAAGACTTTATACCTCCTTGAGATGCTAGAGGAAGGTGAACTCATGGATCTTCTTTTCCTTGGACTCCTAACGAGGTCTTCCACCACCTTTTTCCTTCACAAGCACCAAAAGCGCACACTTTTAAAGCTAAAATAACAAAATAGCTCTAGGGTTTGTAAGGAATGATTTTTGATAGACGAAGGCTAATGGGATGAGGCTAGAAGGGGGCCAAGGATCTTTAAATAAGGCTCAACCCTTAAACTCTAGGTTTTTCCCCAACACCCACTACCACGTCGTGGCACAATCACCATGTCGTGGTGATTCATTAAATCCTGCGGCCCAAAACTCGATGCCACATCGTGGTTTCCAAAGAAGATTGCCATATATACTTGAAAATAATACCATACCTAGAACCGGGTGTTACAAATACTATCGTGTTTGAAAATTGTTAGGAAAATAAGAATACTCACAAACATAACCAACACACAAGGCCGACCTTACTATAATAAAATTAAGCCCTTGCTTAGGGCCCCTAATTCTAAGGGCCCCTTGACCCAAAATTAAATTTGGAGGTTGTTTATTTGAATTCTTCATTCATGAACATCAACAGAAACCATTCGGTAGAAACTGTGACTCAACAACTGTTCTTCACTTCTTCACTTCTTCTTCTTTTTCTGTCATCTGAATTTAATTTTTAGATTAGTTAGAACCACAAATTATGTGACTCAACAACTATTCTTCACTTTTTCTTCTTTATTTGTCCTTTGAATCTAATTAAATGATTAGTGATTTCATTCTTGATTCTGCTAAGATCCACAAAAACCATTACTTCTCTGATTTTCTATTCTTCTTCTAATATTATTCCTGGTGATTTTTGATAAGTTGATTGATTTTTTTTTTTTTTTTTTTTTTTTTTGAAAAAGGATGTCAAGTGTCAATATTAACTCAACCCATTTGGTGATTCTTGTCCAAAATCTTGAATTGAAAGGTTGAATTCTAAAAAGGTATGTTCTATTGTTCTTCTTCAGTTCTTCTTATGATTCTCTATTTCACCACAACTGATTATCTATGATTGTGAATTTGTGATAATCTGATAATCTATTATCTACAATAATTGATATATTTTGTTATTTTGATGAAGTTTTGTTTGATGTAGAAAATAGAAACCAGTTTGATGTAATCATGTAGAAATTTGTTTTTTATTTTTTGCACAAAGGAAGGAAGAAATCTGTTTTTTAAACTTTGATGTAGATTGTAGAATAGAAGTTAATTTTTTTATTTATTATTATTATTATTATTTTAATAATATTCATTACTCAAGTTGGATTTTGGAAAGGAAGAAGGTTTAATTTATAACATTAAATTAAATCTCTATTCTAATAAATGAATAGTTTTAATCTCCATTTGACATGTATTACTCTAATATAATTCTTCATTAATATCATACCACATGTTAAAAAGATATATTAGACAACCCTTTAAAATTCAAATTTAATTTTTCTAATTATATTTTAAATTTGAAGTTATAATAACTTTGAAATTTTGATATATCTTATAATTAATAATTTATTTAAAGTAATTAATAAATAATTTATGAATTTTTACTATGAAAATTTATTTACTATAACCGTGGTTCCCACAGGTTATAAACTAGTATACTAATGAAAAAGAGCCTCAAAATTTTGATCCGTTTGGAGCATCGTTGCCACCACAAATAAATATAAACAAACATAATCCAAATATAAATAAACATAAACTCGTACTACACAACATATTTACTGAGTTTACAAAAAAAAAAGGTTCCATTTTAGTTAGGGCTCTCTTTAAAATAACAATGAAACTAGAGGGACTTTGCTGATATTTTCTTTAAATCCGAGCTAATTATGCATTTTATTCGTATATTAAAGTTCTCGATAAGTTCTCTTTTTCGCGACCATTAATCCGCGCCCAAAACATTTTATCTTCCCGCCAAAATCAAACCCTAAATAACCAAACAATTTCTTCCCCAAAATTCTGTAGCTCAAAACTCCTGTTACAATCTACAGATTTACAGTTATCAATGGCGGAAGGTGAAGAGATTCACACAGAAACCGTCCAATCGAGTATACCAACCGGCAGAGTGAAACGGATTATGAAACTCGACACAGATATCAACAAAATCAACGCCGATGCCCTATTCCTAATCTCGAACGCCACCGAGCTTTTCGTCAAGTTCTTGGCCGAGAAATCATCGGAGGTTGCAGTTGAGAAGAAAAGGAAGACAATAAAGCTGGAGCACCTTCGAATCGCCGTTAAGAGACACCAGCCGACCGCTGATTTCCTTCTCGATTCACTTCCATTGCCGCCGCCACCGGAGGCGGCTCAGACGTCATCGAAACCTGATCGACCTCATAAAAGGAGTGATAATAACCCTGTTCCTGTTGGCACTCGTCGGATTGACAGTTTCTTCCAGAAAGAACCTTAGGGTTTAGTAGAACTTGTCAGTGTTTGCTTTATCTCCAGAAAACGAGTTACGCTTATCGGATCTGTATGTATCTCTTCCTTTACACACATAATTTCTACTTGATTAACCTTATTCGCTTTCTAGATCACTGTAAAATGCTCCATCACAGATTATCAATGGCTGGATCCTCATCGATTATGTTTCAGATATCATGTCCTAGTAATGAACTGTATTGAAATTCTAGTTTTGGGTCTCTTTTCTGATAGAATTCAGAGATTTTTCATTAGTTCTGTGTATCCATAGCCAAATTTCCAAAAGGAGCAACCCTTTGACTTCCAATTCGAATTGAATTCTATCAGATTTTTTTTCTTCCCTAAATTGAAAGTGTAAAAATGTTGTTTTGATCTCTTAAATGCGATATTGAATGGTAAAAAACACCTTATGTTATAGCGAATCAATATGATATGCTTATTAGCGTTATTTATGATCAACCATATGAAGATCACATGTGAATCTTAATGAATCTTAATACACAATAATCTCCATGGTGTGTTAACATTATTACATCAAAGAAAGGAATACAACTACCATAATTCATTAAAATAACATTGATCAATGATGCAATGTTATGTTTTAGGGATGAGTCGAAATGCTAACAATAAAGTTATACACAATATTGTAACTAATGGAAAATACACCAATGGAAATAAATATTAACCACTTGGTTAAGTAAACAAATGCAAAGTCGATAATGGAGATATAAAAAAAATATAAATGTCGAACAAATCAATACAATAAAGATACATATTTACAATGGTTAGTATCTATTTCTTTGACATGGATGGTGTATGTAGTTACAATTTTCTTGAGGTTTTGATCTTTGAATCATATAAATAAAAATGTTTTTGTTAACCCTTTTTAATATATTTTATCTATATTGTTTATTTTGTTTTAATTAATCTTTATAAATCTTATAAAGGAGGCTATTTAAATCAATATGGTTTAAGTATTTATTTTGTCTTTAGACTATATTGATTTGAAACTCCTAGCATTTTCAAGTTTTTCTACTTAATTGTCTTTTAACCATATTTATTTGTAATTACATAACTCTTAACTTCTTCGACATAATTGAATGATTAAATACAATAATTTGCTTATATAAGAACATGTTCCTCCATTTTTTGTTAATCATATTTTATTTTATTTTGTTTTTTGTTATATCGAGTATTTGAAAATGAAAAAGTAGATTTTAGTTTGATGTGTAAAAGAAAGATTTCGTTTTTTTTTTCTTTCTTTCTTCTGTATAAAGTACTTGATTTGGAAGAAGTAGATTGTAGTTGTTTGATGTGTAAAAGAAAGATTTCAATGATGAAATATGTTGGTGCCACACGATTTTTGGAATTAAAATTGTTTATTTAAAACAACTTTGGGTTGTTCGATTTGATGTTTGATGCTTGGATGAATTTAAAAAGATTTGAAATTAAAATTCTATAAATTGCTTAGTTGATTTTTTTTTTAATTATTTTTTTATTTTATAAATACTTAGGTATGAAAAAACTATTTTCGTTGCATTATGTAAATCTCTTGCTCTCGTAATTCTTTTTTGTTTAGTTGGTGTTATGTAATATGTTTTAATATGATTATTATTGTTTTTTTTAATGTTCTACTATATTTTTATTTCTTGATTTAATAAAGTGTATCCATAATTTATATTGATAACATATTAATTTAACGAGAAATTAAATATCTTCCTACTTCTTGTTCCTATCAACCGTCATACTTATTTAAATGATGATATGTGTCATATTACTATACTAAAATATCATTATATTTCATTAAATGAGTATTAAATGTTATACATGTCACCAGTTAATTGGATAACATGATTTATTACATTTCATTAAATGAGTATTAAATGTTATACATGTCACCAGTTAATTGGATAACATGATTTGTAGGAACAAAAAGTAAGAGGATACTTAATTTCTCTAAATTAATTTGTAGGTTTTTTTTTTTTTTTTTTTTTTTTTTTTTTTTTTTTTTTTTTTGTAAAAAAAATCTAGATAACTAATTAATAAAAGTATAATATAAAATTGTTATTTTTATAAGAGAAATAGATGGATGACTTAACTGTGACTTTCAAGATAAATAAATTTGAAACCAATTATATCTCAATCAAAATCAACATAAATACTTTTAAAACAAATTATAAGTCGATCAAAATCTTAAAAATAATGGAATTCAGTTTCATTGTAAATATTATTAGCCAAATACACTTGGTTTTCAAATGAAATTTCAAATGCAAATCTATTAACAAATTACAAATACCATGAAAATAATCACATAATCCAAAGTAATATGTAAATTTTCATAACTATATTGTTATAATTTAATATATATATATCTATTACAACGTCCGATACACAGTTTTTAATTTTTATCTAAGTTTTGATTTTAACTTTTATTGTAATATCATGTAAAATACGATGCATTTAATATTTTCTTATTAGAATATGGATGTTTTTATATCATCATAAAGTAAGCTTTTTTTCTACATCTCCTATCTAAAAGAAAGCAATGTTATGATCTTCAAAGTAACATAAATATACCACATCGTTTGTCAATTAAGATTAGACTTATCATATAAAATATCATTGGACTAAAAGCAAATTAAACTACTTTTTGTTCATTCTTAATGAGAAATATGTGTTTCTATAGATTTTTGACAACTATATAACCAATGGTTTTCAACAACAAAACTTGTTGGATTCAATTATAATTTTGTATCTATATTATATTTAAGGAGGTACAACTTTATACATTAAATAACTTTGTGAAAATATTTAATTTGATTTCAGCTGTATTTATACTCCCAATATCCAAATTATTGACACCGTTGTTGATTTACACCTTCAATTACAACTATTTTAAATTTACCTGCTATGACTCTTTGTTTGACCCGTCACACTATGACTCATCGTTTGACCCATCACAACGGTCACACTATGACTCATCGTTTGACCTGTCATAGTATGACTCATCATTTGACCCGTCACACCTGCCCATTTGTTTACCTATACATACCAACCAATTGTTTGTCAATATATCATACTTCTTTAATCAAGAATGCTAAAACCAACGGATTTAGTTTTTCAAATCAATATATTTATCATCTTTGTTTTCTATGTATAAATACAACACAACATCCGTTTTATCACCTATTTTCTATGAATGAATTTCTCATATCAAAGAGAGAATAATATCATCATGGAAACTTGGAAAGAGATTTATCCACAAGAAATGAATGTGTTTCATAGAAGGAGATACCACTATTCATCTTTATCCATTTACAATGTAAAATTGTTCATTCTACCATATCCACACACATTAATTTATGAAGTTCATCAAAAATGAGGAGAACAAATCTTCATATTTTTGAGAAAATTAAACTTTACATGTATAAGTTCATATAAGGAATAATAACATAAAACACTAACAACTTAATCACCATACTTATCGTCCTTGTATTACGGAGATTGTCACGTCCACATTGGTCTGTGTATGTGGTTGATACGAAGAAGAATTAGTATAAGAAGACGAAGTTAGTTTTCTTACTAAAAATGCCGGTTGTTTCGGTTCAGGAAGTGTAGCAATGTCGCTAGTGAGCATAGTTACTACATTGGACATCGTAGGACGATCATCAGGATCTTCTTGCACACATAAAAGCCCAACTAACAGACATTTTAGTACTTCATCGGAGTTGTAACTTTCTGTTAAAACTTGTTCCATTAGATCCAACGGATTTCCTTCCCTCCACAAATGCCAAGCCTGACCATATTACTCAAGATCAGATATCTTGTAATAAAAAACGTTAGAAAGACTGCTCATACACAATACAATTGTGTATGTACACCATGTTTGCAATATAGGGTACATTGCATGACCAAAAATAAACTAGATTGGGCTAGAAAAAAATTTATAAAATTATTTTCGATGATGAAGATGATGATGATATTTGCGTGCTTTGCACAGACGAGGAATCAAGAGGAAGTCCATGTGCCATGCACATTGTTCCGTCATCCTTTTGATTGGGACAAATATTGCGGTTTTTGTCATGTTGATGTCAGCCAAAGTCACTGTCTCAAAAAAATATATTTGAAATTTGTAATTTGTTGGCATACGTATAGTTGATAGACACATGAAGTTAGTGGGCTTTCTTTTCAAAAGCAAAGAAGATCAAAAAAAGCAAGTTGGTAGCCTTTCTTTTCAAAAGCAAAAGAAGATCAAGCAAGGGTTTGATGAGATATTGTACTCACATAATTGAGAAGACTAATGGCTTGATCACATTGATAGTGTTTCTTTTTCCCACTGATAATCTCAAGAACAACTACTCCAAAACTATAAACATCAGATTTTACTGAAAATAACCCTTCTAATGCATATTCCGGAGCCATATAACCACTGCATCAAGAACAAATAATAATTGTCAAATATTTTACCTAATGCCATAATTGTTAAATATGGATAAATTTTACGATAATTTTTATATTCTAATAGATGTACATGATACTTACTAGGTTCCAATAACTCTTTTTGTATTAGATTCCACTTCTTTGCCATTGACAATCTTTGCCAATCCAAAATCTGATATTTTTGGATTTAAATCTTCGTCTAATAATATGTTGCTGGTTTTTAAATCTCTATGGATGATTCTCAACCTCGAATCTTGATGAAGATATATGAGCCCTCTACAAATTCCCATGAGTATTTCAAACCTTTTTGGCCAATCAAGCAATGCACTTTGTGTCCCATCTTGCAAGTAGTTCATTCAAAACATAAGTATAAATATATGTCCTTATCTTTAATTTTTTTTTTCTTGAAGTTAGAATACTATAATAAGCTTTTATTAGGATTTTCTTAATAAAAACATTAATCATCATTTTGATCATAGTGAGAAGGCAGTAGAGGATTACCAAATATGAAGGCATCTAAGCTTTTGTTAGGCATATACTCATATATTAGCATCTTCTCATTTCCCTTCATGCAATATCCCAATAGTCTAACAAGATTTCGATGTTGAAGTTTTGCAATCAATGTAACCTCATTCTTGAACTCTTCTAAACCTTGTCCTGAATGGATTGATAACCTCTTCACTGCAACTTCTAGTCCCCCAGGGAACTTACCCTAACATACGTTGTCACGATGATTATTTGGTAAGCGAAAAACATATGAATTGAGAATAATTGTAAATAGTTAAAATTGACTACTTGTAACTTGATAAGAATTTATAAATATGAAGACTAACTAAATTAGATAATATAAAACACCATTTAGGTGATCGTAACATGTTTTCCTATTGTAATTTTTTGTTTTCTTTAGGTAACTTTTCCTAACACAACACAAAAATGTTAAGGGTGCGTTTGGTTGTAGA